CTATGTCTGCATCAACTCGTGGTGAAACCCTTCACTACGCGCGAAGGACATGCAAGGGACATCGGTCATCCTCGGAGTCCTCCTAACCAATCTGTGAAAAAAAACTCCAAATGACCCGTGAATGAGTCTGGGGAGTTTGGACATGTGCAACAACCAGGCACCGCTGACACTCATGCTCTTCTGCGTAAGTACCCGCTGGTGAGGTCCGACCTGTCGATGCCACCAAGCCAACGCGGCCTTTTGATTGTGCCGTGCGGATTCGAACCACGGGGCACCCTGGGCGTCAATGGGAAAGCTTTCTTGTTCTAGTCCCAGTCGAGGCCGCTGCATCATCTAATCTCCATGAAGGCCCTTTTGGCACATTTCCTGCTGTTCTTTGCTCCGCAAGTAAGTAGCCTGTCATTCAGTTTCAACAGCTGTGCATGCTTAGCGCGACGTCCTGGTCACCAAGCTGCACTATCCGGTGCCGGCGACCATCGTCACCTTGTCATCATACTTCTTCCGAGAAGGGCCCATTTCTGAAGAACTTTGTAGCCAAAATTAGTGTCCTCAGCCCATGGGTTGAGTACACCTTGCTGTGATTGATCATCGGCTCCTAACGTGGACGAAAGCTGCATCTCAAGGCCCGAATCGCCAATTCTCCAAGTCGCCATCCTACCGATCGGCGCCCAACCGCAGCTTCCGGAAGAAACGCCGCAATGAAAACAAAAGAGCGCCGCCAGGAAGGAGCAAGAGAGAGAGCTGCAGTGAGGTTGCAGGGTAAGGGAGTTCTCAAGACCATCCGTCTTGATTATTCTCAATCTGCTATTATAACCTCATATTTCCAAATTCTAGCTTGAAAGTTCCGATCTTTTTTTCTGAAAATGAAAACAACTTCAAATAACTACTTAAATTACGGATCTTTATTCTGAATTTTTTGAATTTTTATTTTGTGGTCAGAAAAGAATTTAATGATAAGAAGTAGAATAATTCTTAATATGAAATTTTAATTATTATGAATTTTAGTTGAGAATTAATTTAGATGAGATTTTCATGCTTTGATTTAATTCTTCTGTATTTTACTATATTATATAGATATAGAAATTATAGAAAAATTATTGATATTTGAATTTCCGGAAAAATTATAATAAGAATTTGCTCAATTTAGTAATGTCTTACTAAAGTAATAAGAGTAAAAATTAATATAGAAATATTAATATAGAAATACTTGATGATGAATTGTAAAGATCTTAAGAATTTAAGGATTATTATAAAAAAGATCTTAGGATGAATATTTTATGTTCTTTAGATGTTGAAATTTTTTTTCCGATAGATTGATATGATGGAATTTTATTATTAAATATATTCGTACGTATTTGGGAATTTGTTACAACAAAGGTCTAATTTCTCTTTCTTTTTTTCTTTGTGGATTTCGTCACGAAAGATGATATGGTGGATAATCTCGTTATAGGAATTTAGTGATTTTTTTCCATGAAGAGAGGGATTAGGGATCTTAAGACCGAAGAATATGGACGTCTAGTTTATAAAGAGTAAGGAATTAATTTTTATGAATTTGGGGAGAAAACGCCATCTTGAATAGGGTTATGGAGGCATTTCTCTAAAGGAGGCATCGGTTATTCTTGATATTCTTACGAGGGTATGTCTGTAATAAAATTAAATCCGAAATTGTATTCTTTAGGGGTTGGGTCTCTTTTAGAATTCTCTCTCTTTCGAATTCGCAGGATATGGTATTGGTAGATTCTATTAAGATATTTGAAAATATAATACGCGTATTTGTTGATGGGCCTATTCATTTAATATATTGCTTGATACTTGCCATAGCACAAATTTTCGATCCGGCTAATCTTCATCTCTTCTTTCAAATTCATGATTCTGCTTGATGATGATGATATCTAATTTCGTGGGGAGATTAATCTTCTGGATGAAGGGAACGGCAAAGTCGTAGATCTGCTTATTGATGACAGCCTATTTGATATTAATCTTGAAGAAAATAGAGATGTTAGTGATAATATCGACGATATATTATTATAATGACCCAGAAGATTTACTTAAATTATACGTGTCGAGCGCGAAAATAATTAAATTCTTGACGAATTATTTGACGTCATCAAGCTACATATTTCCGAAAAAGACTTATAATGATATAGATGAAGAAGACATTAATCGAGAGAGATAGAGAAGTGCAATAATTCGAGCAAAATCATTCGAGCAATTTTAGATTATAGAATTCAATTCTATTTACCAGAATCGATTTGAATTGAAGGGGAAAGAAACTTACTTTATTATATTGAAATTTATAATGCGTATATAAAGTTTGTACAAGACGTCGTTAATTTTGGGATGAATAAAAGTAATAAAAATAACGGTAAATGGTAATAAAAAAAAATCAAAAAAATAAGAGAGAGTAATAACGAGACAGAATAAAATGTAACGGAAAACAAAGTAATAAAAGTAATGATAAAAAATAAGTAAAAAGTGATAAAATAAAAGTTAGATATTAGTGTGTGACTAGATGGGAAAAGTGGTGGAGTAGAGTAGGGTGAGATAAAATAGGGTAGAAAGAACGCGATAAATTAAGACGCGCATGAGTTTAACAATATATTTTCTAATATAATCTAATATAGAAGCTTTTAAATCGATAAAATTTTAGAAAAAAAATGTCTTAATTCGATTCTATTTAGAATAACGATTTTCTGCTTTTACCCAGCCGACATTATTTTTTCTCTTACATATATCAATATGCTCATTATTTCTACGTTCTATCTAATAATGAGATTTTGTTGGAATTATATTCAAATCAAAGAATAATGAAAATAATGGAGACGACGAAGAAAAAGAGATAATAAGATAATAAAGATAATGAAGATGAGGAAGATAATAACAAAGTAATGAAAATAATGGAGATAATGAAAATAATAGAAATAATGGAGATAATAAAGATAAAAAAATAATGAAGACGATAGAGAAAATAAAAATGATAAAAATGATAAAGATATTGAAGTTGATGGAGATAATGAAAATAATGAAGATGAAAATAATGGAGATAAAGAAGATGATGGAGATGATGGAGATAGTAAAAATAATGAAGATGATGAAAATGAAAGAGCGGATAGAGATGATGAAGATGATGAAAATGATGGAGATGATAAAGATGATGAAGATGAAGAAGATGAAGGAGATAATGAAGACGACAAGGATGATGAAGATGATGAAAATGACAAAGAAGATGGAGATGATGAAGATGATAGAGATGATGAAGATGATGATGAAGATGATGAAGATGATGGAGATGATGGAGATGATGGAGATAATGAAGATGATGAAGATGATGGAGATGATAAAGATGAAAATGATTATGATGAAGATGATGAAGATGATGGAGATGATGAAGATAATGAAAATGATGAAGTTGATGAAAATGATGGAGATGATGAAGATGATGATGATGAAGATGATGATGGAGACGATGAAGATGATGGAGATGATGAAGATGATGAAGATGATGATGATGATGATGGAGATGATGAAGATGATGAAGATGATGAAGATGATAAAGATGATGGAGATGATAGAGATGAAAATGACGATAATGAAGATGATGGAGATGATGAAGATAATAAAAATGATGAAGTTGATGAAGATGATGGAGATGATGGAGATGATGAAGATGATGAAGATGATGATGAAGATGATGGAGATGATGAAGATAATAAAATGATGAAGTTGATGAAGATGATGGAGATGATGAGGATGATGAAGATGATGAAGATGATGGAGATGATGAAGATGATGAAGATGATGAAAATGATGGAGATGATGAAGATGATGAAGATGAAGAAGATGATGAAGATGATGAAGATGATGAAGATGATGATGAAGATGATGGAGATGATGAAGATTATAAAGATGATGAAGATGATGAAGATGATGGAGATTATGGAGATGATGAAGATGATAAAAATGATGAAGATGATGAAAAAGATGGAGATGATGGAGATTTTGAAGATTATAAAGATGATGAAAAGGATCTCGGGTAGGGGGTCCGGAAGGGGGTCTAGGGGGGGGGGGGTTGGTGGGATCCGGGGGCAGTCGTGTTGGGGTGATGGGGTCGGGGAGAGTCGCTTCAAAAGCAAAAAATCAAAATTCGCGTGCGCTACCACTAGACAGGAAAAACAGGAACTCTCAGGCGCGTTCCCCGCACTCCCCAGAACCACCGATGGTGGATCATGGGGGGGGGCGAGCAATTATAATCTTGTACTTTTCCAAATACTTTCTTAATATTAAATCATAGATTAGTCTAATATTTACATTTTTATAATAATACATAAGAAAATGATTTATCGAGAAGTATTCAATTCTATTTATTCTTTCTTTTTATTTTGCGCATATATATATATACATATATATATATATTTGAGAATTTCCTTCTTCACGAGAAAACTATGATAATATCAATAATTTTCTTTTTTCGATAGTTAGATCCGTCACATTGATTAATAATGAAGTATGTCACGAAGTATATTATTTCCAGCCGAATCATACCTTTCGTGAATATGATTTGCCTCAATCCAATGGGAGGCGAGTCTAGCGAAGAAGCAGGCGACAATCAAGAACAGACAGAGACCAGGAGGCAGGAACAGGGGCGCAGAATCAGGAGTTTGTGTGTCAGCGATGAGGGGGAAGGGCCCAAAACCAAAACCCCAAACCCTACACCTAAATCCTAAACCGTGACACCTCTCCGTTCTGTTCCGGACTCGATGCATTCTGGACTTCCTGACTCAGGGGTCAAGTTTCCGATTCGACTAAGGTGCCCCCAAGTCTGCCCATCATTGCCCATCCCAACCCAAGAGCCAAATCTTATTGGGGCAGGCAGCCTTTTCGCCATCTTTTCCGCAGCTACTCCAGCTTCAGCACTCCATTTCACAGCCAAAACACCTGGACACACGAGCCGAGACAGCAGCAATCAAGCGTTCTGCTAACCCCAAGGCGGCCAGGAGACCTCACTTGCCAGCGTTCGAGTTGGGACCTCGCTTCGGACCACTCTTCACCACCTGGCCAAGGAGGTGCGCTCTGCTCTCTTTTTGTTTCGACTCCTGACAGATATATGTGCTCTCTCTGGCCACTCATCTACGAATCATCAAAGCCTTGAGTGGAAATCCATTTTAGGGCCAAGCCTCTCTCCTCGTGATAGGGTCATCCGTCTGTCAAGAGCTAGCACCTGGCTCCTGAGGGCTGGTAGAATCTCTCCTTCTGCCCTGATGGCAACCTGAGGTAAGCAACCTGTGAAGGCTCCAAACATGCCGGGACCACACTCACGAATCGGCGGTTGTACACGAATCGCTTCTTGGCACGGCCCGTCAGCTTCTGGGAAAGATGTCGGAATGAGGGTCTGGGGGGCATTCCAATGTGAAACCTCCGACAAGACCGACAATGGGAACACCGGGAACTTTGAAAATTCGTCTGCTGGAATGCCTTCTTCTTCTCCGCCTTCGCAACCTTGGGGGTCTGGTTCTTCACCTCAGAGAAAAACAGGATCGCTTTGGCAGCATTGGCATGTTCACAGCCGCATCTCGTAAGGTGAGGAGTTTCATCCCTTCCTGCTCAAAGCGCGAGGACGCCGGGTCACCTTTCCGGCTCGTGCCAAACTGCCGTGCACCTGCATGCACTTGCCAAGCTTGCCTACCTCATTGGAAGCACTTGCAACATTACGGTCAGCTCAACCACCAGACACTGTTCGTGCTCCTTGCATTTAGAGGCTGCCAGGGAGCATTCCATCCCTGCTGAGACTGCCCCATCCAACTTGCATGGCACTTAGGGGCTGTAGATCACGTAAACCATCGTAAACCTGAACCAAATTGTGGGCAGCCAACAGCCTGCTTGCCGTCGCCCTACTCTGTGGATTCGAAGGGTGCGAGCCTAAAAGGCCGAAAGACACTAAGTCGAAATGCTTTGGGGGCGACCAACAGCCACGTCCACCGTTGCAAACCCATGCGCCTTGCCCATGGCGCTCCGGATCTTCTAAGCTTTGGCGCGACTTGGACTTTGGAGTGCCGCTTGCGGACAGAGAAGAGTGGCAAAAGCAGCAAGGCTGGTGATTCAAACTGACCCAGGAGCGGGAGTCCGTAGTGTCAAGTCTTGCTATCATTGCCATCACGTCCATCACCTCCATTATTGTCCTAATATTGCCTGCTGTTCCTGCGTATCACCACTAATTCTGTGGGTTTTTTCATGCAGTAGGAACACGGATGCGACCAGCAGTTCGCTGCTTGCATGGCCTTGTTAGTACTTGTCGTCGACTCCGTTTCAGGCCCCCGGATCAGTTCTTGCGGCCTCGACGAGCCTTCCGAAGCTTTGCATCTCTAACTCTGGGGCATCCTGGTGGCAGAGCAGCTGAATGTTGATCGGTGAGCACTCCCGGTCTGTGTGGGTTTTGGCTCCTCTTGAGCCGTTGAAGAAAAACCGTGTGAAACCACCTTGGCCAGCTTCGTCAGACCGAAACCGGTTGACGACTCCTAGTTTCTCAGGTCCAGTGACTGTTGCCCACAGGATGATGATCTCTCAACTTTGCTGGTAGCTTGTCGTGGTGGTCGTTGTTGTTGCTGTCTGGAATGCCAGTACATGACAACTCCCTAGGCCACACTCAGGCATCAAGCAAAGCTGCCATGGCTGGATCAAGTTCAGGCTCATCTCCTGCCATCATCGAACCCCTTCGGACCGAGTTCCCCCCAAAGCGTACGATCGAAGGGGAGGTTCAGTCGTTCTCCTGCGCCCTGCCCTGAACGCAGAGAGTCCAAAATCTGCTACCCCCGAGCCCCATTCCAAGGGAACCCAACGATCATCCCGGCCATCCCGCGCTCTCGACAAGTCCTGCAGGACCTGTCCGGATAAGGCCGATGGCCACCTCGAGAGCATCGACTGCCACGTCGATCTCTTCCTTACGGAAGGCACAGAGGCAAGGCAAAGCAGCTTTGCCAACGCCGGCATCCGATCTCTCTACATTCGTCACAGTGGAGCTGGGATTTCCGAACACACGAGTAGCAAGGCACGAAAGGAATAACCCGACTCCGCGGCGGATGGAGGTGTGCTTGCAATACGTCATACGGGCCGGGCCGAGACAGGGGCATTGCATGTAGGCGGCCAACTTTTTGCCGCTACTCGCCTACAGAGATACAGAGCAAACACCTGTGCAGGAAGTGTCGAGATCCGAATCTCACAGACAACGACTGTTGCAGCTCCATTACATCTGCAGCCTCAAGAATGCAAACTCTCTGCGAGCGAGAAGCGATCGTGTTGTAGAAGTAGGCGGAGAGTCGTGCACTGGCCGTGACACCTTGGCTGAGGGAGAAGGAGAGGGGGGAAGGGGGAGGGGCCGACTGCCTGTAGACCCACGGACACGACTTTGGCTCGCTGGATTTTCTTTCTGTGCACCCGAACCCTAATTTCCACACCTCGTCCCGATGCCGAAAGCTGTGCAAAATCCGGAGCGACAAGCTGGGAGCTTCACCCAGCTCGCCGTGCAGCGGCTGCGTGCAATGATGCCCTGATCGCATGGCCACGCCTCGGTCCTCCGGAAAATACGGCAAGGCCGGCTCTTTCGGGGGTGCGCTAAGTGGGATGGGGATGAGCCTCCAATCAACGAGCAGATTCAGACACATGCTCCTCAAAGCCTGAAGAAGGCTCTCTGTCGTCCTGATCGACCAAGGTGGCCAGATCGTTCGCGTGGCAGCCTCACGGCTCGGGACTCGTGATAAGGGGCCTGTCGGACGCCTGGGGGGGTCTCTGTGCGAAAAGGCGAGACCCCAAGGACTGGCAGAGGATGGGCTCAGGCAGGCACCATCCACGTTGAAGCAGACGAGCGAGGCCCGATCCTGAGCATGAAGCCCCGAAGCCTTTCCGGTTCGGGGTTTGAGGCTGCTGGATCTTTTCGAGGACCGTCGTGGAAAGGGGTCCAATCGCACAGGCAGACTGCCAAAGACAAATTATGGGCCAAAGCTCTGGCTGCGTCTCAGGGCTAGGGCCGTAGAGGTGGATGCCTGGCAGGCTCACATGCTAAGCCTTTAAGCAGTTCAACAATCCGTCCTCTAGAATCAGATGTGACAACTTCTGTGAAACTTGTGCTCCTGAAGGACTGGGAGACGGGAGGCTTTCGGGCGCAGTGAGGGCGCAGCCTTCCTCTCACTTTCGGCCTCTTAGACTCTGAGGCCGCAGAGCACCTGGCAGCGCTTCGAGGCGGCTCCAGAGGTGCTTGGCAAGCTCGTGCTCGCCTCAGCTAGGCCCTAGGCTTCCTGTGGAGATGCGTCCAGGCACCAAACAGAAGCGGGGTGTAAACTCAATCCCATCAGAAGAATCGACGAACGGCAAAGACGCGGCTCTTCCTCCTGCCCGGTGGCGTTGGCTCACGGCCGCCATGCCGAGATCTGTCAAATACCTGGTAGCCAGTGCCGGCAGGGGGCGATGTGTTCCCTCCTAGAGCCTAGAGCTGAAGCATGCTGAAGCTATTACCCCTCGCAGGGGTTAGAAACCGCAGTCCGGTTTAAGAGCCCCTGAGATGAGCCGAGATTGGCCCCGAGGGCTTCTGCCGGCTGGGCCAGGCTGCTCGCAGGCCGCTCCCAGAGCCACAGCCTCTGCGAAGGCCGGGGTACCAGCCTCCGGGCAGCGGGCTCGGGGCCTCGACCTCTCTCCTTCTCTCTCGTACGCCATGGCACGTAAGAAGAAGCACCGGCCTCAAACTTGTGTGGGATGTCATTGAAAGTGCTACCTGCCCGCGCGGTAGGACAGCGAAGCGTCGAAACCCCCCAAGTCTCGAAGCCAAGAGCGAGCGAGCCTTCCAGGGTCACCTGGTCGATCATCTCCCCGCCACCCAGGAACGGAGGTGACCCTCGGAGGATCTCTCCCCGACCCCACCTGAGCAACAGGGCGAAGAGCGGCCGAGGCTCTCGTTACGGGCTTCCCTCTTGCCTGTAAGGGATTCGATCGGGGTGGTATAGAGCGCGCTTCAAAGCTGGCGTGTCCAGCCGCAAAAACCAAAGTGCGGGAAAGCAGCAGGAATCCGATTCCTGTGGGACCGCACATCTTGTGACCTGGAACAGTTGCGAAGGCAACATGTAAGGCAGCACCCGAAAAGCAGATTCCGCAAGCAAACCTCCGCAACCTCTTCTTCAGCCTCAGGGTCCTGTCTACCAGACTTGTCCTTCACGGAAAATCTCGCCACTAAAGGGACTAAGGGAGAACGACTTTGCGTGCCGAGGGGGCACCGCTGGCAACGAGCCAGTCGGCTCCCAAGGTCTGGACGTCCACGGGCATGTGGGGGACCTTGGAAACAAAACTCCGAAAAATGCCCTGTTGCTAAGATGCCTTTCGATTCTCGAGCGCGTCTTCCTGTTTGGTGATGGGACGATGGACGGCTGCATCGAGGGTTTGAGGAGGCAGCTCCTCTAGGTCAGACTGAGATCAACCCGACCTCCTTTGCCGAAGACAGGATGAAGACGACGTCAAGTGCCGATACGAATAAGTGGTGATAAAACTGCAAACGAAAGGAATGCCACGCTGAGCACGCTCACAACAAAGCTGGAACAAATCGTCTCAAGGCACACTTTGACAGGCGTCCACAAGCACCTTCGCACCGACAGAGTGCGCGAGCTTCGCCACCCTCTCCACGGGGTTTACCTTTTCGAGGCCGCTTTGCGGAACCGGCAAAGACATCGATTCTGAGACGACTACTCTATGCAGCCCCGCGCGAGGTCCTACACTAGGCATGCATGGCCTGAGGTTGGGCCAGAATCGAAAAGATTACGAGACCAGTCAGATCAGGCACACACCCCAGGACATTCGAGACATGGCAGAACGCGACCAGCTTCGTCCTGTCCCGTGGCGGCTTTGGGATCGGGCCTCCGCATTGGCCAATAGCTGGATAGCAGGGCACTGGAGGGCGTCTACCCAAGCAAGGACGTGCCCGCAGCCCTCGTCCTGTCTCCAATCAGGCTCTCGAACTGCTCCACGTCCTCACAGGACATCACGCATTGCCTGAACCCTCGAAGCCTACGCCCAGAGGGCAGGGGGTTCGAGCCGAACATGTCCCAGGCTGCCAAGCCACCAGCGTACCGTCGTCACGGAGACGACCGAAGCCTATGCAGCTCAGGCAACTTTATCCGAAGCTGCCCGTATGCTCCAAAACAAAGGCAAGGTGGGAACTGCGGGCCCAACGAAAAGTGGATTTCTCAACTGCGTGAATCGCTCAGAGTCCAGAGTAATCAAGAATTTGGTGAGCCAAGGCTGTTGGATCTTCAGATGTGCCCCTACCCGGATTCCCGACATGCTGTGCTTTAGTTCTTTTTTTGGTGTCCACGTCCAAAGAACTGGAAAGAGAACCCACGCTTTCTGCTTCCCAGCAACGCAGCACCGCGCCGGTTGACTCTGCGAGCAGTTGCCACGGGACCAGGTTCGCATGATGCTCCTTCGGTGCAAGGGCGGTCTGCATGCCTTTGCGGATACTTCGGGGTGTTGCCCTTTACATGTCAATGCCATGAAGCAAGCACCTGGCGCTTGTCACACTCAGCTTCTCTAACGACTCTCCTCTGCGGCAGATTCGAAACACACGACGTGCCGGTGACCTAACGGGGACCTGTACCGAACCCGAACTTGGGCGGTCCATCACAGTGAGCACGATCTCATCCCCCTTCCTCAAAAGACAGCGCTCGGGTGGCTTGCCAAGTTTCTCCCTGGGACTTGAGATCGGGATGCAATGGCGGAGATGAAACGCCTGAGAATCGACCTCCAAACTCCGTCGCCACCTCTGGAAACCGAAAAGGGGAAACCCAAATCGGGACGCAAAAAGGCCACGAGGTTTCGTCCCGACCAAGCATACGCCGGGAAGCGCGATGTTGGCCGCTCCCCAGGTTCGGGCGACCAGATTGATGGCCTCTGTGGCATTCCTGGTGAAGACGATCTCCTGAGATCTTTTGGAGTCTTGAAGTGTACGTGTAGCCGAGACTTCGCACTTAGGAGGCTCGGCACTTTCAATTGGGCTGTCATGCGTCTGCCAGGCTCGGAACGTCTCACAAAATCCCCTGACGCTTCTTGGCCGTGCTTCGTGGGAGTCTGGTGCGTTCACGAACTTCGCCACCTCAAAGCACACGGCTTCCCTTTTGACAGGCTTCTGCATTGTGCGGCCAGCTTCGAAGAGCAAGATGTTCCAGCAACAGTTCAGCTCGAGATACTAAGCAGATTCCGTTCACAAGCTACCGTACCCGCAGCATGTTCTACCACGGCTTGTCGTCGCACGAATTGGGCACTAAACCTTCCGCAATGATGCCGTCGCCTTCTGCCGGGCGGTTTCGAAGGCTTCTGTCGATCTCATCGACAGCGTATGCATGCCTCGATGGACATTGCCTTAGCGGGGGTTCACTCTGGTCGGGCTTGACAGCGCTGGGCGGGGCCCAGGGCTCTAAACTTTGGAAGGATGATGTCTCTCCATGCCGGAACAGCACAACATCGGTAAACCAAAGCAGACACCATACCTACACATGATTACTGACTGAATATGAAAGTCGCATTGTGCGCAGTATGTGTGCAGTGATACCCGCCTCTCACGGAATTAAGACGCATCATCAACATCACCTGTACGTATAAGCCAAAGTTAAAAACAAGCCTGCTGCAAACCACCGCATCGGTTTACACCAAGGTTTCAGAGTGTGTGGTCAAGTATGGTCGAGTTTTGCACTTTAGAAACCATGCATCGACGCCGGCAGAGCGGACTGTGCCCCAAAATGGATCAGCTCAAGTGGCTGCTCTGCTCCGAACAAGTCCAGCGAGAGCTGTTCGTTGGCATTCAACACAACAAATTCAACATGAGCTGCTTGGTGGCGCGGTCGCATCCCAGCTATGTAAGATGTTCGGTCTCATTGCCACGCACGCGCTTGCATGATCTGTCGGCCTCTCAGCAGATTCAACACGAGCTGGTTGGTCGGCATGACCCTCAGACAACTGCTTGCCTGAGCTACTAGGTCAAACTCCCTCGACGGGCCCAGCCCAAACAACAGCAACATGAGAATTCTTGCTCGCAGATCGCTTCGCGGCATCCGATCCCTTTCCATTCCTCAGGTTGTCACGTTGCGACTCCCCCTCTACATGTGGTGCGAGTTTCTCGGGATAGTACCCACGAACACGAAAACGGACCAAAACTCTCTCCTTGATCTGTGTTGCTTGTTCTTTGCTTTTTGCTATTCCTCTTCCTTCCCCTTTTGTTCTTTCACCAACTAAAGGAGAACTCCTCCCACTCCCCTCCACGTATACATGCCCTCTAACCTGAGCGACCAAGTGACCACAGCGGTCCCTCACTGCAGACAAACTCTGCAGTTCGCATGTTTTGGAATGCTGTAGTCTCTTCTTCCCCGCAGCCAGGAGGGTCAGCTTACGCTTACCCCCCGCGCGACTTCGCGAGTTCGCGCACTTCGGAATTAGGACGGATGCACACAGTAGACTTTGCAGGAGCCCAGTCAGCGAGTGCCAAGAAGAAGCACTATGCAAAAATACCCCACAAGGCCTGAAGACTAAGTGAGTAAGAGCTCGCTCTCTCTTCTTGTTTCAGGGCATAGGGGACTGTCGAAGTCTCCCGGCCTATTGGCCCCGATCTCTCTTTCTTTCGCCAGGGCCCCATCTCTCTCTCTCTCTCTCTCTCTCTTTGCTTTGCTTTGCCCAGGGTTCAAGTCAGGGGCAACCCCCCAACTCGCGAAGAAGTGCATCCCCTTCCTGCTACTTCCATCATGTTGACAGAGATGGCTCGGCTGTACTGAAGAGCGTTGGGCCTTTCAATTCGAAATATCTTGTGTGCCTCCGTGGGGGCAAGTTGTCGCAACTGGGCATCCGAATGTGTCAACAACAGTCTCCGAACAACTTCTCCACAAAACCTTCACACATCGGGTGCCCCTGCTGCTGTGTGCTCCTTTCGCACTCTTGCCGGGGCATGGCCGTACTGAAAATTAGAGGCCAGCTCAAAGCGAGATGGCCTGTAAGCCCGCATGGAGGCAAGTCTGCCAGGCATCCGATTGTGTCCCCAGAACACGTGCATACATCTCTCTCTCGCTCTCGTTCCTTCTTTGGATCTACACTGGAGAGCTCTATGCCCTGCAGTATGCCTTGGATTCTTATCTGACGCGGCACTGTTATCTTGGCTGTAGAAGCGGTTCAGCTCATCCAACACCTGCCAGCAAAGTGCTCTCGAAGTTGAATGGTGCAAGTTTCGAACTACACAGTGCAAGCTCTTCGCGGCGACGGCCTGCTTCGGTTTCTGCGAGGTGGCAGCATTATCAAGGTAGACCAGCGGCACGCCAGGCTTCACCTGCACGGTCCCCCCCCCCCCAAGATCTTTCCAGCGCCTACTTGGGCTGCAAGAAAGACCGCGACTGCAAGGTCCAAGACTGCTCGCTCTACACATAGATTTTGGACACTTGCTCCTATAATAGTTGCAGCTTGCTTTCGTCTCATTTCTTTGAGATGGGTCGTGAAATGCTTGTCAGTGCTGCTCTCGTTGGGCGTGCTCCCAAAATTCAAAAGTACGTTTAAGTCGTCGATGCAAACAAAAGGTGGTCTCGCGCCTCTTGCTGCAGAGCTGGGAAGTCACTCCGGAGCCCTTCCTCAGCTTTAGAAGCTTCCCAGATCTCGGTCATCATTTCCGTCCTCCTCTACTCGAGACACCATGGACTACAGAGAAAGGCAAACGCACAGGGCTCCCCCAAACCTTGACCCCGAATTCCATAAGTCTTGACTCCACCTGGGGATAGCAATCCCCAAACTGAAGTTGACCGGCTTTGCAAAATCGGCCTCACTAGTGAACTAGTGTGATCCACCACTCAACAACAGAAGAATCTGGCAGGCGTCTGCTTCCGCAGCGCTCCAAGAGCTCTTACCAGGCTTTGCGGCTTTGCTCACGACCTGAGGGGAATCATCGTCGGGACCCGGGCTTGTAAATAAGGAGTCGAGGGTCAAGATATGATCCTGGAACCTGCAATGTATGTAGGTCCGTCGATTCTCCTGACCTGTGTCTGCTGGCATTCTGTGCTGTAAGCTTCTGTACTGTGTTGCCTGCAGGTTTCTGCATTATGTCCTGCAAGGCCCCGGAAGTGTTGGCATCCCTGGAATTTCCTGGCATCAGTTTTCCTTGGAGCCCCTTGTGACAATGGCTAGCGGCTGAAGTAAAAGCACTAGGAGCACTAGCACTCGGAAGGCAAGTCATACGAGCAGCAGCAGCAGCAGCGGTAGCAACACACAAAAAAGCAACAATCGCAAAACCCTCAAAGTATCACCGTAATGACAACAGACAAAAAAAACCAACAGCGAGAAGACTAACAACAAAACGGACGTGATACGGGTCATCAGAACGTGATCCATGCCGGAAGAAGAATCGCAACTGCAAAAAGCCTGAATAAATTCCAAGGGGGATCTACCGAATCCGGTCCTGAAAGCCTGTCGCCTGAAGCCTCGGCCTTTGTCTAAATGAACCTTCCCGGAGCCCTGAGTGCCCGGCCCTCGCTCCCACGCCGGGCGTCCGCCTGGTGACTGCACTTCAAAAAACAGCCCGGAACGAGTAGACTCAGGACACTAAAAGAAGGGACCTCACTCATTCAGCGACTCTCTTCGTGACAAGGAGCTTTGCTCGCACCGGGGAATTCCACAACATGTGGTCGCTTTCGCTTGAAGGCCAAGTCAATGCCCTAATTTCCACCTCCCTCCAACGAAACTCATCGCACCTTCATGAGCCCATTTTGCGAAGCGTACAAGACTCATATCATATCAGCCCAGCGACGCAAATCTACGGACCGTAAGCTGCGCATGATATTTACGGCATGACTGGCTCCCAGAATGCTCCGAAAGCCATGAAGTTGTAACCCGTCATAACCATTCACATATGTACACATCTAACAGATAGATATATATATATATAGAAACATATAGGTGTACATATGTCAGCCTACTGGCATCAATAGTGTCAAGCATGCACACGTGCATGCATGCACTCGACAGACTGCGCATCTGCTGTAAGACTTGCCACTGCCTTGCCTGTTCGTCAGCGCCCCTGCCACTAAAGCTGTGGTAGCAGCTGCTGCGTGTGTTGGCTGCACACCTCAAGCGATATCACACACGAGGCTGCGCGTCAAGAGCGGCATTTCGGGTCAATTGCTGGGAAATGGACTCAAGCTGCTGAATCGCTGAGAAGCATGGAGCTAACAAAAAGAATTGCCCCAACTTCCCCAAACCTAAATCTATTCAGTCGGATTCTACGGACCGATTTGCTGGGTCGGTGTCCGGATCGGCCTCGAGCTGAAGCTAGCTCCGTCTTCCGGGGGTTCGAACGCCTTGATGCAAGGCTGCAGAGACCCGTCCAAGCGGGAAACCCAAGCACGTCGAAAAAGTGAAGCCTCAACCCGCTCGGGATTTTTTGAGGGAAGAAACTCGCGCGAGCCTGGCCAAAGGCAGCCCCGGTGGTGGTGACAAGGTTAATCCCTGGCAATGGCAGGGTCCAAGCTTCCAAAAGATGCCACCAATTGCCAATGAGCGGTCGATGGCTCTGACGACTCTGAGGTGGGACTTTGGTGAGCGACTCTCTATCTGCAATTCCACGGCCTGTGCAAGAAGCGCCATGGCAACTAGGCCCGCTAAAAGGGTTTCTACGTGACTTGTGGTGTTGGCACACTTGGTTAGAGTCCGCTCGTTGCACTCGGAAACTCTGGCGGCACGATGTCGTGAATGCCATTGATGCTGCAAGACGCATGTTCGTCCCTATGGAAGATTCTCGTTGTCCTTCTTGTCCAATCAATCAACGCCAAGCGAGGCAAAAGCAAGAAGGCTGCGGACCAACTGAACATCGCGAGCCCAGCGAACCGGCGGGATGTCCGCTGACAGAACCTGCTGAGCCCCACACCTTCAGATACAACCACTACACGGACGTGTTGGGGGCCATTTCTCGACGGGGAACCGAGATTTCAGGAAGATGTTGTGCCAACAATCATTAGGCAATCGTACATTAGCAGAAACAGCTGTGACGGCCTTCGGGTTGTCGCGACTTCCAACTGCGAGAAAACGTCGCGGCAGAAGATAAACCAAGGTTCTAGCTACCCCAAATCTCTTTGCATGTCTGTCTATCTTTGCGGCTCATCTGGGAAATCGAGCCCATGCGGCAGCCGGCGCCACCACCACGATGGCCGTCGCTTCAACCTCATCACAAAGCGGAAGCGGAATGCATTCAGAAACATCAAGCCTTCATGAACAGTGAGACAGCCAAGTGCACAAGTTGGGACTAACCTTCTTTAAGCGTCGTTCGCAGAATGCAGGGCATCTTGGTGACCCTTCAGCACAGGGCACGTCCGCTAAGATCAAACGATGCGCCGGAATGATCGCCAAACTCAAACATTCCACACTGCTAACCAAAAAGCCCTGCCCTATGCCAGCGGCCAATCAACAACGGGTTAGACTTTCGCAAATATGCATAAGCCCTGTGGCTTTAAAAGGTTTTTGCCGAATCCTAAACTTAGATACGCAAACAACCTACAAGAGGACTTTCAGCCTTTCTTTTCATGCAAGACTGGACTGAAGACCAAAAAGACTCCAAAACTGAAGACACAACGCCTGAGCAATTGCGACACGCCGCGGATCAACTTGCCAGATCTGCTGCTCCGTTTTCACCCCGCCCCTGCCTTGCTGCTGTTTTTGTGGTAGTGGTGGTGGTGGTGG